TTACCTTATCAGGGGTTTGCGCCTAACTACTCAGGATCTGCGCACCACAACAAATTTGTTCTGTACAAGCAGTTAACAATCCAAAAACAGGTAAATGGGGCAAAAATAAAAATGTCCGTACTAAATAGGAGAGGGTGCTATCCTCCAGCTGGCTTTTTCTATGGAGAATGGGATATGCAACATTACATTTCACCATTAGCACCACCTGATGATGAAGCCTGGTACAGCAGAGTGATCATTCGGAATCAGCACTGTTATGTTGGCATGGGCAAGCTTTCATCCACTGAACATTGTAAACAACTAGGATGGTTACGAGTGGGATGTGTAAGACTGAAGAGCACTCCATGTGGCAAACAAGGGCATCAAAAGAAATAGGCACATTCCAAGGTTTGTTTGAAAACTCAATTAAGAACTAAATGTGTCCAAAAAATGAAAATGGTATATCAGCAGAAATATATCATAAAGTGCAAATATTTATGTGATAACTAAAACACAATGTCCAAATATTTATTTGATTATGTAAAAAATAAGCAAAGAAAAAAACTTGCCATCCAACAATCTAAATTAAACCATGGCCATTTCACTGTGAAGCCCTCTCTTGTTTGGGAAGAAGGGTAAACACATCTTAAGAAATAGCTTGTGTAAAACGCATGGCAGAAGCAGATTGTGTGATACAAGAGGGTAAAGTACAGGTGGCATCAGTTGAGCTTTTGTATTCACGACATCAGCTGCAGAAAATCAAGGGTGAATCCAAGTAGGCATTTGGAAACTCTTTACAGCTGTGATCTTCATATAGGAGTCACGGTATATTTTTAAGGTTCCTTATTTGACTTTAAGTCAAGAAACACTGGCAGAGGGTTAAATCTGATGGTTATAGAGCAGGGGTGTCCATAAGGTCGATCGAGATCTACCTGTCGATTGCGTAGCGATCAGTGGTAGATTGCGATTGCCTCTCCTCCCGCCCGTGGTGCTTCTCTGGATCCGTGCTGCTCTCCCCCATCTGTATGCAGCAGGGATCCGAGAAGTCAAAGAAGCACAGCAGCCTGCAGCGGAGGACGGAGCCGCTGTCACAGAACTAAGGCCGAGTGGTGAGGAGAGAGAGACGCTCATCCTCTCACTCCCCTCACCGCTCAGCCTTAGTTCTGTGACAGCGCCCCCCCC